ATGACTGTTGAATTTTAAAATTCCAAATCAGTATTAGTTACTACATTTGTAAAGAAAATAAGTACACTCAAAAAGCAAATAATAACTCATTTTTATAATAATTCCTTATTTGAAATTTTGAGATTCAATAGTTATTTTTTTAAAATTTTTCCAAAACAAAATGCTACCATGTGTTCTTTTATGAATATTTTTCGGAATAAAAAATGACCTTTAACTTGAAAGCATGGTCATCATGTCTATGTGAAATCATATGCAGTATAGGTCTGAGGTGGTAAATGTCCATTTGGACTACTATTTAACTAGGGCCATCGCTACTATTTCAACACTTTTAAAATTGTGTTTGGTAGGAAGTATTAAAAATTAAAGATAGGGATTGGGATTGGGATTGAAAAAACTTATTAAAAGAATATTTAACATAAGAGATTGCTTGTTATATGGTATTAACAAAACCCATATATGTGGGATTGGGAAATACCATGGGAGAAAGTAGTATTCTCTAATCTCACCTCTATGGGTTTGTCTAATTCTATGTAACAAGCAATTACTCATTCTAATAAATACTATTTTAATAATTTTTTCAATGGCAATCCTAATTCCTATCTTTTATTTTTAATACCCGTACCAAATAGGACACTAGGGTAAACCTTGTTATGAGACTCCTTTTAAGGGGTGCTCTGGATTTCTTCACAAAGCATTTGATGGTTTTATAGAACTATTAAGCCTTGAATATGAACATTTTTTTTTAGTGAAAATTCAAATTTTAGTTTGTTATAGTGTGAATGACTAGTTTTTTTTTTTTTTAATTAGACCCTCCTGGTAGTTACAAGTGACTTATATTTTTGTATAAAAAAGTAGCTTTATTTTATACAGAAAAATTTTAGGTAAATTGGATTTTTAGAGGTTCATAAGAGTCAGAACATGCCTCACCAACTTTTAGATCATAAGCTAGCTCTTTACCAACTGGACTAATTTTTGTTGATAAAAAAAAAAGGTAACTTATATTTGATAATGACAGTGTACATAATATTTTATATGCAAAAATTCATTTTTTGCTTTGTTTTCTTTAAAACTTTATTTTAGTTCACATATCAAATTTCCCATCGAGTTGGGTCAGAAGAACCAGTCATATTCACCCATTTCAAAATAAAATATTGAAAGAGAATGGATCCACTAAAAGCAATAAACAATTACTCAAATCACAAGCAACTTTTTGATTTTTCCAATGATCCATGCCCCGACTTTTATTAAGTCGATGAGGAGACGATCACATGTTTTTGACTATACACATAAAAGGTATGGTCTCTTTTACTCACGTGGTTAGGTTAGGCGGACGAGATATGTAGGATTTTTTTATTGGAATAATACTGATATTATTCTTACCTTCAGTTTTAAATATAAGAACTAGTTGATTAATTTAAATAAATTAAAAAAATAAATTAAGTTAATTATTTATAATAAATATGTATTATTTTTAAAAAAATATCCTTACTAATCAAGTTTATTGGTTAGAACCACTATTATTAGAAAGACTATTTTGAAGAAAATAGATAAATATGAGGGATAAAGTAAATTGATGTTTTGTATTTAGGATCAAAATAAAAGTTAAACGAAATCTTATATTAAGGACAAGAGATAGTAATAAATTAACACAACAAAATTTTGGCCAAAAAAGTTCGACGCAACCAAATGATTTAAATTAACTAATAACCTTCATGTTTTGGAAAAGAAAAATAATTTAGAGCATTCCAAAAAAATTTTTTAATTAGAATCATTATCCTCTATTAAGTAATATTCCTTCCACGCAATAGATTGAAAGCCTGTTTTATCCAGAGCTAGAAGTCAAAAGATGATAATTCAGTGAAATTAAATGCGGTTGATTGCGTGAAGGGTATTTTTTAAAATATATAAATTATATCTTCTTTTTATAAGACGGTTGACATTTTTTATAACTCGCCATGTAAAATATTTATTATAAATCATGAAGAGGTTTTATTGGAACAAGTCTTATATTATTTATCCAATGCAATATCAATTAATTATATTGATCACATAATCAATAACAAATAATCAATATTTAAAGCCAGCTTTATTTATATAATTTATTTTTTTTGGTAAAGTATTTATATAATTTATGTTAATTAATAGAAATTTTCTTTTCCCATTTGGACGCCATACATATTACTCATCCAGTTCTTAATATAAGACATAATTGTTGAGTTGATTTTGGTTCTAAATATAATACATATTTATCAAATTTATCAATTTTTTTTAAATTATCCTTATAAATACTCCCTCAACTATAATCAAGTAAAAGAGGGAGAGAGGATATCAAAGATGATTATGGTGTTTTAGAAAAAGCATGTCATATTTTTTATAATCAACTAACTTTCTTAATCTAATCAAATTAATTAAATAGGTCTTATATTAAAGATCAAAAGAGTATATATGTGTGTGTATATAGACACATATATGTGGACGCGCGCACTACTTGCAAAATACTCAGGACATGTTTTTTTTTTATGCAGTATACTATCTCGTTTCTTAACGTAAGACCCCATAAATTATTTTAAAAATATTAAATAAGATAAATAAATTAGTTTAATATATTTATATTTTAAAATTAATTTTTTAACTTATAAATTGATATATAATTTAATAATATATAAAAATATTTAAAAAATCACATAAAATATATTATAATGAAATAATTTATTTAATTTTTTTAGTCCTTTCACTTGGTCAGGTCTTATACTAAGCACGTATACTTTGATTCTCGGCAAAATAATCCATAACCGAACAAAAAAGTCATGAACTGAACGTGAACGCATGTGATGTGACTGTGTGCATATATCTATATATATCTATATCTATTTATATATATATATATATATATATGAAGACTAATAAATAATTTGACGTCCTCGGGTATTGTTGATTATTCTTCTTCTCTGGTCAGCCTCCTTGCAGGGCAAGAAACTCATGAATTCTATTTTTTTTTTTTTGGACTGAAAGAAACTCATGAATTCAATGAACAAAATTAAATCTATCTACGCAGTCACACCCACACACACACACACACACACACACACACACACACACACAGCATGCGAATTTTAGAAAATTAGAACGGGTCATCAATATTGATTATATCATCGTGCTTAATTAGTCATATGGCACTCCTTATACACACTACCCAAGCATTCTTTCACAGTATTTATTTTAATTCTAAATGTAAAATTTTAATATATTTTACTTAGAATTATTGAGGGAGTCGTCTTGATCAGATCAACAGTAAGACAAAAGGTTTTTCCTATTAATCGCTCAAATGTTTTATGAACATTTTATTTGTCTGCAGTGATAATTATTATTTTATAGTTATGCATTTAGAATAAGATATTAGGGTCCACAAAGATATTTTAGTATTTTAACTAAAATATTAAGTAGTTAATGAGAGAAAGACAAACATAACCCATAGGGAAGCGCATTCTTTAACAAAAATTTAAAAAAATTCCACTATTTAAGTCTGCTGCAAAATATCAATAAAAGAAATACTATCTCCATTCCTTAATATAATAACTCATTTAACTTTTATTTTAGTTATAAATATAAAAACCCAATCCATTTTATTTTTCATATTCATTCATTCATTTTTTTTTAAAGATGATCTTTGTAATAATGGTAGTTCTAACTAATACACTTGAATAGTAAGAATATGGCTGTGCAAAAACCCAGTGGTCCGGCATGGTCTTGTCCAACCCGAACAAACCTAGTTCAATCTAGTCCAGAAAAAATTGGCCCGAAGCAAGACTGGACCAGACAGGATTGGACTGGTATCATCAAGCTGGACTGGATTAGGGACTGGCCCCTCAACCCAGTTGGTCAAGTCCAGTCTAGCTTTGTTTTTTTAATTATTATTTATATAATTTTAATTTGATTTAACTTTCCTATATAAGTTTTTTGTCTATTCAAATAATCAAGATTTATCTATTAACTTTCTAAGTAATGAGTATGTGTATATATTTTCTACAATATAAGATCTATATTAATCAGGATTAATTAATAAAACATGACATTATTGGGAAATTAAAAGGGAGTGATCAAATTTGATGAACTTTGGATTAAAATATGTGCAAAATTTTATACAACAAGTTACAATCTTGCCTCCTACTGAAGATTTTTTTTTTAAAAAAATTAAATTTAGGTCCTGGACTGCCTGGATTGGTCTAGACAGTCCAGAGGACCAAGTCCAGAGGACCAAGTCCAGTCCAACTCGACTTTCGGTTGGTATTAGACTGGACTAGACTCAGGCTGTCTTTTTCAGCCCAAGTTCTTTACTGGACCAAAATTCATGTTGATAACAAACTCGGTCCAATCTGATCCATATACACTCTTAAGTAAGAATTTTAAAATATATATATTCATTACAAATAATTAATTTAATTAATTTTTTTAATCTACTCAACTTAGTAACTAATCTTTATATTAAAAATTGAAAGTAGTAATTGATTAAAAATGTAATTACGATCATGTGCAGCTCAAAGTATCGCAGACTCTGTGCTCTCTGTTGACCAAATGTGGGACCAATTCCACCGTTTTCCACGCGGCACAAGACGATTGGGTGTCCGTAAGAACATGGTGAGGTTGCAATCCCCACAGAGCCGCCGACATGGTGGAAAAAACATAGGGCGAATGACGTAAGCGATGACCTGTGTGGGCCACCCACACGTGTTCCCCACCCACTCATCACCTGCCACGTATGGCTGCGGTCAACCTTCATTTAAGCACACAGCTCGCACGCGCCCCCCACCCCCCCAATTACCTCTAGTTCTAGATACACCTCCCCTCTACCACGTGCCAAATTAAGCCCTTTATCTTTTATCTTTTATTTATTTTATTTATGTTGTTTTTTGTGGAATTTCCGCTATAAAACACCAACTCGCCCGGGAGTTTTGTGTTTCAAGACGCAGTGGAATTTTAGCGAGAAGGAGGGGAACCAGAGGAACAAGAGAAGAAGAACTGAGGCTTAGCTAGCTTACAGTGAAGAAGAAGAAGAAGAATGAATGGTGAATTGGAGTTACCGCCTGGGTTCAGATTCCACCCAACGGACGAGGAGCTGGTGAATCACTATCTCTGTAGGAAATGTGCCGCTCAGTCCATTGCTGTTCCCATTATCAAAGAGATCGATCTCTACAAGTTTGATCCATGGCAACTTCCTGGTACTTAACTCCTTCTCTCTCACCTCCCGCTTTTTCTCTTCATTTCACCTTTCTCACTAAAGCTTCACAAAACAGAGCAGTTTCTAGTTAGGGATATTTTTTCTCAGATGGCTTCAGATTTCGCTCCGGATCTTTGTGATTCGGAATTAGCGAACCAGAGCAACTTTACGATGGAGAAATAGATTTCGAAGTATTTATATTATGATGTTTAATTTATTGATCTTAAATGATTAAAATGGGAAATCTGTTGATTGTATGAACAGAAATGGCACTTTACGGCGAGAAGGAATGGTACTTCTTTTCACCGAGGGACCGAAAATACCCGAACGGTTCGAGGCCGAACCGGGCGGCTGGGAGTGGGTATTGGAAAGCAACTGGAGCCGACAAGCCGATTGGTAAGCCGAAGCCACTGGGAATTAAAAAGGCACTCGTATTCTACGCGGGTAAGGCCCCCAGTGGCATCAAAACGAATTGGATCATGCATGAATATCGCCTCGCTAACGTCGACAGATCCGCCGGCAAGAAAAAGAACCTAAGGGTACCTACCTAATTGCCAACTCCTTTTCTCTTTTGGAAAATAATGATGTTTTCTCATATCAAATTAAACTGAGTGCTCCAATATAGTTTTGGAAATATATGAACTGAGATTATTTCGTTTTTTGATGTTACGACAGCTTGATGATTGGGTGTTATGCCGAATTTACAACAAGAAAGGCACGATTGAGAAATACAATGTGATGGATCAGAAAGCGGGCAATTTATCGGAATTCCATGACCATGAGACCAAACCGGAAATCAAACCGTACGACCACAGTAAGGTGCAGGCACCGGCGGCAACAACGGCGTTCATAGGTGACCAATTCTATATGGACACGTCAGACTCGGTGCCGAGGCTGCACACGGACTCGAGCTGCTCGGAGCACGTGGTTTCGCCGGACGTCACGTGCGAGAAGGAGGTACAGAGCGAGGCCAAGTGGAACGAGCTAGGGCTCGGAGAAGATGATGGGATTGATTTTGAATTGAATTACGTGATTAATAATATGAATAACCTCTCGGGAGAAGATCCCTTCGCCTCTTCCGTACAGTACCAATTGAACCAGCTCTCGCCATTGCAGGACATGTTCATGTTTCTGCAGAAGCCATTCTGAGCAGCACGAGAAGGATGGGTCCCACTTGATTCAATTCATTCGAGGAAAGAGAATTAGATTCGAACGATAGAAATATGCTGATTGTGTAAATATTATGTAAAAGCTCATCAGAACGGACTCTTATGATTTGATGAGTTTCATTAGTATTTTACACAGTTAACTGATGCTAAAGACCCATTTGGGTTTATTTCTTTGTTTATCGAAGAAAAGCACTATATTGTTAATATGTAAGGAGTCAGTAGGAAATTCTTGTTCCACGGGAACTGTGGCAGAATTTTTTTTCACGAGTTTGTAATTGTAATTGTAGTATATAACTTTATTCGTCAATGGAATGGAAAACGCTTAGCTGTAAATTTCTACTTTCCTAAGCAATGTGACTTTCACCCTTTGAGCATCATCGATGGGCAGGTTAAATCTACAGTGCCTGATGATGAAAAGATCCCAAATTGGGAAGATTAAGACAAATTGTTGAGCTGTCCACTTTTGACATTTCTGAAAACGAAAGATTCTTCTTTGAACCAAATCACATTATTGGCAAAATTAAGATGAAGGAATATCAAGAGGAGGAGATTTCATCATGTAAAATGCTCAAAACATTTTGAAAAACAGCACCTACTTGCAACAAATCCTCACAGCGAGTCAAACTAGTGTAACATGAGCATTAATTACACGGCAGTCACAAGGGAATATGCCATAATCATCATATCATGATCAGGATAGCCAGAGAGCTTTTCAATATTTATCTTACAATACAAATGTACAGAGAGCTATCTCCATAACCATATATGTATATAAATATTGCAGAAGATACAGTTATACTGGTATAGACAGCAGAATTCTGCTCTCGTTATGATCCCAGAGGTAACTACGAAGGGACAACGTAGCTATTACGATCATACGCTGAAATGTCTGGATTTTGGAGCACGGTCACAATTTGCTGTTGACCAACCAATCAACTGCTTCTCATTGTCGTATACCATCAATTTGTCCAGCATGGATATGTCTGCATAAACAAGGAGATCACTTTATAACGGAGTTATAACAAAAAGCTGCTAAGAAGAAAATATAGACAAGAACATACCTCCAATTAGGTTCACATCCCCCATGCCAACTTCAGAGCCGTTTAGAATGCCCAAGCACACATTTCCCAGGTTCTGGAAGAATAAATTGCCAGCATTAAAGAATAACCCACGTGATATATAGCAAGAATGTCTTAGAAAGATAGTGGTTAAGTCTGGACTCACTGATATTATCAAGTAAGCTTCAGGAGGGATTTCAAATACGGCTCTGGACCTTCTACCAGTGGTGAAACTCAGAGCCAGAGGCTTGAAATATTTCCTGACTTCATTTATGCTTCTGAAAGGTCTTCTACCATGCCAACAGATAGGCACAGTCTGGTCATCAGGCGCTTCATACAAGTGTTTTCCATGTAATTCCTTCTTTAACTGAAATTGAAGAAACAGTCATCTTTAAGTAGCCCAACATATTTGATTCTTCATGATGAACTCTGCATAAGTAGCCTCAAGCTTAAGCCTAATTAACTGGGGAGTGTAGAGAGAAATGCATAAAACTAACCCAAGAGATTAGAGCTTGGTAAGCATGGAAGTTGAAGTAAGTGTAAGAGCTTCCAGTGTCAAATATCGCGAGGAGATTTCCAACCCCAGTCGCCTTCCCTCCAAAAAGGAGTTCAGCTCCCCCAGCAGAGTAATGTTTACTGACACAAATTACAAACACGTACAGGAATGAGAATAAAGGATCAAGTATGATGAAAGTACATGAGGAAGATGTAAAATGTGGCTTGCCTACTTACGAATCTCCGGAAGACATAGGAGTCCAAGTCACTCGAGAAGATTCAGAAACATCTCCGAAGAACATATATCCTCCTCCGTATGAGCTTAAACAGTGTCCAACTACATTCCGTAGCAAACCCTGACTGCTAAGCTGAGATATCAAACTGGCTCTTCCTCTGCCAAGGCCAAGTACTCCATCAACGGCGTGGTAAGAATAAGCAGGAAAGACTTGATCATATCCGCATCTGAAAAAGAAAAGCCAGCAAAGGGGTGAATTAGAGATCACATGCATGAATTAGTTACTACACTGCTGGATTTTCATTACAGCAAGGATCAAATCAATCCTGAATATCTTCCTGTTGTATTCCATACAGAGAAACATGATAAAGTGGTAACGACAGCAAGGACTTACAAAGGCTTTATTGTACAACGAAGAGTAATCCATGCGGTAGACAAAGCAACATTAAATGTGTACGTACCAGCTCTTACAGTGGATACCCCAAAAGGTTTATACTTTTAACGATCATGTATTTTAGCTTGAATTATTTTCTCTTCTGTGAATAATTATTGTCCTGATTGATACTTAGATTGCAATAAACACGTAAGCTAGTCCCGAGAATTAAAAACTGAAACTTTCTACGGAGAAGTCTATCTCAAGATATTGCTAACAGAAGACAACTTGGAAATGAAAGAGATTGAGGTATAGTAAGCTTGCAGAGTAACTAACCCAAGTCCCATTCGAACTTTAAGTTGGTTTCCATTTGTAAAGTTGAGATGATAGACATCCTTGAGAAGAACTCCAAGGGTTGAATATTGATCTGCATACACAATTTCATAGTGACATTGATCTGGATAATCACAGTTGTAGCGGCTGCTCTGATGTAAGGATACGCAGAGGGGATCATCACAAGGCACTAAGTCATTGCTTGGCGAGTAAAGCGGATGGGGTGTCTGAAAAACAACCAACAAAGATGACTTGTTCAGTCTCATTCGCTGACATTAAAGAAAACAACTAATAAGAATCTTCTTGATATCGTTATTGATAAATACCTCAGAGCAATGGGTGCAAGGTGCATCACATTGAAGCCATGTGAGGTCACTACCCGTGTCAAGATCAAGAAAATAGGGTCTCGGTGGCTGGCCGATGTTGAGAGTAACGTTGTAAAACCTGCAAATGATGAGAATAACGGTGAGATAGTGATCGATAATTTCTTGATTCAATGATTCGCAACTTGCACGAGGGAGGGAAGAAACCCAAACTACAAGAAAAAAGAATAGATGCATGCCCTGTTTAGTACTTACATTTACGTCACTGCTTCTATTTGGTTACCATCCACCACATCAACATAATTCACAAGGATTTAAAACTAAGAGGATATAGAAGGAAAACAAAAAGCGGTAGGCTTTTGCCGTCTCATTGAGATTCTAGGCTTTTTTTTTTTAAATGGCCGAGGGGCCAAAGCATTATTTAGCAAATGGCACAAGCAAGAAGCAACCTGGCAGTTAACAACCCCTGATCATGATGAGACAGAATACAACAAGATAATAACAAGCATGAAAAGATTTTTTTTTTTTTTACATGTAATTCGAAGTATCAAATTATAAGCATCATATGTGTACGCCACAATATTATATTTTTGAACAATCAGAGTTTTATAGCCCAGAAGATGATGAAGGCAGAAACAAAGAGGAGAAGTACTTACCCAACAGGATAAACGTTGCCATGAACTTGAAAAACAATGGAGGACCCACCACGATTTAGGGCCGATGATGAAGACGACGACGTCGCTTCACCGGGGAAAGCGGAATTCCTTGCACTTCTGTATTTATTTTTATTCCCAAACCAAGCAGAAGAAGCTGACAAGTTCAACAGCAGCACAGTAAACACCAGCAATTCTACCTTCCCAATCTTCATCACTTCAATCCACTTCTTCTCTGTTTCAAAATATCAATATCTTGAGATTGCAAGGACTGCGGGAGGCAACACACGTGTTTGATAAAACGCATGAAAGAAAAAAGGGAGACAGGTTTGATTATAACATCCCAGTGAACGTGTTGTGGTTAATTTCTTGAGAGAGTTGACAAGAAAGGATTCATGGGTATTGCTTGTTGGAGTCAAATTTCTGCTAAAAGCTTTTCCCTTTCATTTGGGTTTGGGATTAAAGAAGCACAAAACCTCATCTTTAGAATTGGGATTTCTTCAAACATGGAATGTCATTTGTTCTTATACTTTGCCTCTCTCGCGCGAATCGTTCGTCATATATTTTTCATTATTTTATCTGAAGGAATTGTGCAGGCACCAATGTAGGTGGCCCACGTGGGGGGGTGTGGCTGGGGATAGTACTGCTACACTGCTAAGAAACACTACTAACTGGGAATTTCGGCGAAGCTTCTACAGATTTTTGCCTGACTTTTTGTGTTTTGTCATGCACTGATGATTTAAAGAATCTGATCAGACGAAGAAAAGTATCTTTTTCAATAGTTTATTTTACAGTTACATTTTATATGTAAATAATATTTTATTTTAGATATTTAATGTTATAACAATCTTTTAATTAAAATATTGCGATTTCATTTATTTATAAAAAAAAATGAAATGTTGCTGCCTCTCTGTTTTTACTTTGTTTTTTATGCTACATTTTACCACTGAGCTTCACAGTTTCTTTCCGTTAATTGTTGAAGGTTTTTTTTTTTTTTTTATGTATCATTTTACCCAAGTTTTAATAAAATTGTCTTTTATAAAAAAATATAACGTATATACTTTTGGAAATATTGGTTTAAAATTCTTTTTTCCAGATATCATTCTTCTAAATAAAATTTTGAAATAGAAACTTTTCACCAATTTTTCCTTCCTTTTTTTTTTTTTTGTGTTTACATGCACATATATTTGTTTGGTTCAGAGAACTACAACTTTCTTCGGCCTGAACAGCAATATACTAGCCTTTCGTAATTGTAGATGTTTTCGTTTTCCTTGCAATTGCTCTTTTTCGGGCCAGAATTGCAGTTTCAAAGTACCAATTAATTTGGAATGGAAGGGTAGATCGTAGATGAAGACAGCCATAAGTAGCAGCTTCCAAGATGTTTTAATAATATAAATATAGAATTCACAGAGTAATAGATTGTGCTATTTATTTTGATGGCAAAAAAAAAAGACTGCGTAATTTATTTTTCTTTTCTTTTTTTTTTTTGGGCCAAGAGATTATGTTATTTTTCAAATCACAGATTAAGTAGAATTACTTCATATTTATTATCTCTGAACTAAGAGGATCAAGACCCACCAAAGTTAACAGAAGCATGAATTGAGAGTGAGAAACTCGTGGCCTCAAAGAAGCTAATAATTACTCATAGAAAGTAAATTTGTAAGTAGCATTGTAACATAAACCTGGAGGAGTATGTTAATAAATATTAAAATGTATGATTCTGTAGTTAAAATATTATATATATATATATATATATATAAGGAAAAACTTATTCAAATAACCATAATTTTATATATTTTTTATAACATATTACAGTAACACAATTTTATGATTGTTATAAATATTTTATATTATGTTTCCAAATTTTTTAAATTTTATTTAAAATTTGACACTGATTTTTTTTATGCCCTCCGCCCAGTCTGTGAACCCCCTTATTTGTTTTCCACACCACCCCCCCGGGGCAGGGTATCAAATAACATGTTTTCTTTTGATCAGTAGTACTAGACTACTGTATTAATATATTCCTCTTATCTTAAATTTAAGACCTAATTAACTAATTTGAATAGATTAAAAATATTAAATATTTAATATGATATTCTTTTTTCTAAAACACCTTAACTATTTTTTTTAATTCCCTCTCTTCCTCTCCTACTTGATTATGTTGAAAAATATAAATATGATTAATTTGAAAAAAAAAAAAGTAAGTATATAAAATAAATCTTACATATAGGATTAATATCAACTCCCGGTCCTACAATAAGGACTGGAGGAGCATTTTCTTAATTATTCCAAAATAATTTTCAAACTTAAATCAAAGGGCAAAAGTGAAACCAGTGAAAGATGTTTGAGTTTTATTTATTTTAAACTGAGATATTATCAAATTACAACCGCTTTGCCTTTTCTTTTAGGCCCCACTGCTTGTCTTTATGTTCCCTTGCTTGTATATATTACCCTCAAGTAAATGCAAAGTTTTGGTTGTTTTCTCATATCCCATCATGCCTTTTTTAGCCTTTTTGTTTAGATAAAATGCCTTTGAACATCAATCTCTAGTAAAAATGTAAGTGTCACTGTCGCAGTTGCAGAATCATAATGACAGAGAACACAACGCATGAAGTATTAAGACAAGCCTTATTTATAAACCATGCCAGGGCTTGAACTCATCGATCATATAAATGTCATTTCTACAACTACAAGTGAGTGGGTGAATCATAATTTATTTAGACCACGCAATTAGAGAGAGAATTATTTGAAAAATGTTCCCACTGATAAGTGCCTTCAACAATCTTTCCTTCTGAGGCGTATATGGAGGATACCGTACAGTTGAATCTGCATCAAAACTTCTATACAATACTGACTTTTTATGGCTGAATCCATCAAAAGAGAATTTTCCATGGTATGATCCCATCCCACTCTCTTCCACTCCTCCAAATGGCAATCCTCGCGTTGCAACCTGCATCCACATTATCAATCTCACTCTACATAAATAACATCTGACTCTGTCACGTTTAAAACTGGGATATTTTCTTTAAGGGACTTGCATATCAGGTAATAAGGGCAAGTTTCTATATTTAGTAGGATTAAGAGCTCTTCAAAGGAGAAAAACAATTCATAAGAGGAGAATGGTTACATGTAAAATAGTGTCATTGATGAGCATTCCTCCGGAAGATATGTTCTGCACATAGTCCTTCTTCAGTTGCTCATCGTTTGTGAAGAGATATGCAGCAAGAGGTTTTGGCTTTGATCTAATTATATCAAAGCTATCCTCCCAGTTTTCAACCTGAAAAACAGAAGTGAAGAGATCAATCCACATAAATTCATGTGGGCAGGTCCTGAATACTATTTTCCTATAACTCACAGTGAGGATTGGCATTATGGGTCCAAATATTTCCTCTTGCATTACTGTAGAGTCATCTGGAACATCCAATAAAATGGTTGGAGCAATCTTTCTGCAACAGAAATGGAAAATAAATGTTATGGTTCTATAGTTCTAGTACAAAAGGGAAATAAATGGTTCTATACTCACAGTTTGCTCTCATCCTTCTGGCCTCCTAGGACAATTTTATCAGCTACTTGATCTTCTTCCAAAAGCTTTACCAGGCGCGCAAACTGCGATGGACTCACAATCCGTGACATGTCTTTTGATTCAATTGGATTTTTCCCAAAACATCGCTCCAATTCATCTTTTAGAGCATTTATCTGTTGATTACTGAGAATTGATCAAGAACGCTATATATGAATTGAAGAGGGGCATCATGCATCATTAAGAAATTCTTACCAGTGTTGGAGCAAATTCCTTTTTAGTGATAATGTAATCAACAGAAATACACGCTTGCCCTGCATTACATGCCCACTTACCAGCAATTATCCTTCTTGCAGCAACCTGAAATTTTCAATGATCAATATTGCTACTCTCAGAAACACAAGCACCTCCCCCAACAAAAAAAAAAAAACCCCCCATTTGTGTTTTGACATTTGTTGAACATTTATGCAGATGCACCAAATTTTATAGTATTTTGATTTCATGATTTAAATATAACATTACTTGTAAGTTTATATTGGAATCAACAACAGCTGGGCATTTTCCTCCGAGTTCCAGAATCACTGGTGTAAGGTGTTTTGCAGCAGCAGACATGACAATGCGACCGACCCTGGCACTACCTGTATTAGAACCATCAGAGCACAAAGAAAAAAAGTTATGAGATAAATGTCTTATCTTATATAAAACACATGTAAATACTGATAAATCTGTTTGGTATTCCCGGATTTGATAGGGATATTCCTATATATGACATGTTGAAGAGAAGAGTGAAGACAAAAAGCCACCTGTGTAAAGTATCTTGTCCCACTTCTGCTCCAATAATGCAGTTGTTTCAGGAACAGCTCCTTCCACAACTCTTATGGCAGAGTTATCAAGATAATCTTTGAGAAGATTTGCAAGAAGTGATGATGTAGCTGGAGAGATTTCTGATGGTTTCAGAACAACTGCATTTCCAGCTGAAACAGCCCCGATTACAGGATCCATTGATAGCACTGAAGATGGGATAACTCAATTTTAGAAGGATTTCAAAAATAAAATGGTGTAAAATCATGAATATGGCAGAGGTTTTTCTCAGATATGAGTATGCGTTTTAATGTGTGAGATGTGTAAGAAAAATAGTATCTTTGATGTTTTTACTACATACAGAAGGGAAAGTTCCAGGTTGAGATGACCAATACAACTCCTAATGGTTCTGAAACGATCTCTGCTGATGATGGGTATGTTGTAATTGAAGTGTTCACCTGAAAGGAACAGAACAAAGAAAGTGGTAACCTGAACTGATAAACATTAAGCCATTTTAACTTAGAACTTGTTTTCACTGTTATTTATGAGCCATGACAATTACCTTTTCAGGCTTCATCCAATGCTTTAGTTCTTGAATTGCCTCGCTACATGCAGATTTTGCCTGGGAAACCTGCATTAGATAGTGTGATGATATTAGGATATTCTATATTAGTGTAAATAGCATATTATCCTGTCATAATGAGCCAGGCCCATCCCTCCTCTGTGTGTGTATACCTCTTCTCTGATCATGAATATATTGCACATGCATAAAGGGTAAGGTGATGACAAGAAGAGTCATATATCTCTGAAGCATAGAAAGAAGCAAAAACACAAAAAAAATGTTGACCTCAGATATGAATGCTTCAAATGCAGGCTTAGCAAGGTCTTTTTGAAGCGCTTCAATAATGTCCTCCTCCTTTTCTTCTAGCATCTTGGCTATGCTCTCCAACTGCGAAATCCGCCATTCATAGCTCTTTGTCCTTCCAGAATTGAAGTTTTTTCTGAGCTCTTTAACCAGTAAATTAGCTGTCTCTCCATCAAATACTTGCTTCTCTTCCACTTCTGGGATTACTGATAGAGTCGCTGAACACCTTCACAAGATAAAACATCACAAGAGAACCAAACTTGAAGCTCCAGAGATATGAAAAACATATATATATATGTGTGTGTGTGTGTGTATAGAGAGAGAGAGGGGGGGTTTACGAGAATGGAGAGAAACGAACACAACGGTGGTTGAAGTAAATTTGCTTCTGAAAGCTCTTGCTGTTCAAACGTTGGGGAAAGAAGGCTCTGCTACCGACTGGGGCAGGACTGTTTCTCAGCACGCAAAAATTGCTGTGACCGTAAAATTTGCAGTTTCTGCAAACAAGTTCAAGCAACTCAACAACTGTGAAAATTAAAAAATTGAGCACTAAATTAAAAAAAAAAAAAAAGGAGAGAGAAGGAATAAAACATACCTTCCAGATAAGAACGACGGAAGAGAGAGGCTGTCCATGGTCGAATACAACAGAACTACGGTGGTGGTGGTGGCCTAGAAGACAAGTGAAGGGAAGATGTAAGTAATATGATTTCTGAGCCATGAAAATTTGAATGGCAATACCGAACACAGAGAGAACTCGCTTACCGTGGCCCCGTATTGAACATGAACAGCACAACCGGCGAGATAAACGTTTATGTTTTCATATAAAAATAGAGATTATCGAAGAGTCACCTCATGGTGAAGTGAAATGTCCTGGTCGGAACTGTGATTATTACGAGTTTCAAGCCGCGTGCTTCATAAGTTCAAAAACTGTTTCAAATTAGGATTTTCCTTCACACTTTTACATAAAACCAAATCATGGTTCACACCATACAAAATAAATATATAAGAAAAATTTTATTTGATTTACATAAAAACATTTTAAAAGTATTTTTTTGGATTTTTAAATAACAAGTATACTCTTATTAAGAGCCCCATATGCACAAGAAAAGGTACGCAGAGAGAGAGAGAGAGAGAGTTCTGATAAGTAGGAAGCTGAGTAAAGTACTGAATTTGTTACAGTTTTATTAATCCCCCAGATGAGCCAGAACTTTTTTTTTTAGAATATGTTATTTGCTAATATCATTTTTATCTTAAAATAAAAAAGCAATACGGAACCGAAAGGTGGCATGAGGAGATGGGAAAGTGAAGAGGGAACATGTGGAGGGATTTGAGAAGCAGAGAAGTCAATTATTTGAGTACCATTTCCGGGCAAGACAAAAGCTACGAGTACGAGCCTGGAAAAGCAGTAAGCGGGCAAGTGGCCCCATATCTGAACGTGGACACGAGAATATCACCACCATCTTTCTCCCCATGCGTCTCCCCTCAACGACGAAACTTCGACATCAAATCCATCGTGGGTGGGGCTTTGTGGCCACTGTCCAAGAGTTCTGTGGTGTGAATGAAAATGAACAGTCATAATACATCTGGTTCTTTCTTTTTCAACGAGGATTCCATTTGTTCTCTTAGTTTTAAAAAGGTTCACTGCATCTGAGAATATTTTTTTCATTACATCCAGTAATTTAAAATATTTTATGATGTAATATGAAATATTTTTTCAGATATATTCAGTACCAGAAAATATTTTTTAATGCATCTAATATTGTAAAGCATTTTTTAATATGCATCTATCAGTCAAAAATATTTTTTGGTGCATCTGGCATTAAGACAAAAAATATTTTAAAGTGCTAAACGCACCTAAAAAACACTTCGGTATAGTAGATGTATCACAAAATATTTCAGGGTTTTAAATGTACTTGAGAAAATATTTTGAGATGGTGGATGCACTTTAACCCATTTTAAAAAGTATATTTTTAATTCTTTAACCTTAAAATTATTATTCTTAAATGATACTTTTTGTAACAATCATAGTTATTTTGAAAAATAAACTTAATACCTTAGTATTTGAGAATATTTTATCAACACTCAAGATCTTAATATAATCATATTTGGCAATAATTTTAAAATTAAAAGATTAAAAGTATATTTTTAAAAGTTAAAAAAACTAAATTAAAACCTTGTGAAAAATTAGAGGACTAACATTATATTTTACCCTATTTTTGGGTCTATGTATACATATAAGAGCTAGTTAATTAATTTAAATATATTAAAAAAATAGTTAAGTTAATTATTTGTAATAAATAAGTTTTATCTTTACTAAAATATTATTACTAATTATGTGTAATAGGTAAAACTATTATTTGATAGAACCTTTAACATGTGCAACCATTATAAGAACTATTTTAAAAAAATGAACAAACATGGGAGATAAAATAGATTATAATCTTATATTTAGGATTAAATTAAGTGTCAAATTAGTTTTTATATTAAAAATAAGAAGAAGTATCATTTTTTTTTGCCAGATTAGATCCTCTTAGAATTTCTTTTCCACTTTTAAATTAAAAAATGGTTCAAATATAATATTTCTTTAAAAATATTATTATTAAAATAGAAGCAAATAAATTTAAACTTGTTGAGAGTTAATCTGAACAATCCTCACATGTAGTATAAAAAATTTTAATAATGATTTTGTAAAATATCACATATCAACCATCCCTTTTTTTGCTACATATGTGTATTAATTCTATTTAAGACATAGTAAATATGAGTATTTTTTTATTTTATTTCATCTAAAAATGGAGAAAAAATTTTGAGAAGAAAAGAAAGAAAAGGACTAAGAGGGTGGTGATTTGGTTTGTAAGGGGTGTTTGATAACTATTAAAAGTGTTTTTTTCGTAAAACGAGACAAACTCTTACATATATTTATTTCGCATATCATAAAAATACTTTTAAAATTATAGTTTGGTTTCCACTTAAATACCTCTTATTCCTTGTTGGATTAATAGATGGCATGGCCCGTTAAAGTCCCAAAGGTTTAATCACAGATACTATATTAAAGTTACAATAAATTTAGTGATCCACAAATGATAAATTTAATAGAATTTAGGGAAAATGGCGTAAAAAGAAATTAAAAAATTACAACATTCCAATTTAGACACTTCAAATTTTTAAAAGAGAAAGTCATGCCTAATCTGGTATTTTACAAATGTAATTAAATGACAAAAATGCATTTGTATCAAAAAGTTCATTAACAAATTGTGAATTGGTAGTGACAAGTATTGAACAAAAAATGTATCAGCAATGACAAGTTACTTATTAATAAGTTATGAATTTACAATAACAAGTGTTGAACAACTAATGACAAGAAATGTACTAGCGATAACAAGTTTGATATATATTTTTTTTAAAAAAATCTGATATAAGGACGTTTTAGTCATTTAACTATATTTGTAAAATTATCAGATTAGGTTCCATTTTCTCCTGTGAAATTTTGATATCTTGGGCATTTGAATTGAAATATTATAATTTCAACTTTTTATGTCATTTTTCCTAAAATTTATTTATTTTTTATGGAACTAAAAAAATAACAAATTTGCTATAGCTAAATTAAGAGGATCAATACTTCTGAAAATTGAATGAAATTTCATGTAACCACTATTACTGCAATCTCTCAATAGCTAGACGCGGTAAAACGGGTTGACCTACAAGTTATGAGTTAGCTCATAGTGGGCTCGTCCCATTAAGGAGTGAGTTGGCGGGTTGACAGGTCAACTTTTATCTATTTTTAAAGTTTTTTTTTGCATATATATTTAAATTTTTGTAAATTAAATTATAAATTTTTATAGACCAAATTCTTCTTATTTTTATATTTTTATATAATTATATAATTAAATTATACTTAAAAATTAACATATAATTTATTATTAATATTTATTTTATTAGTATAAAAATTGTAAAACAATAAAAAAATAAGAAATCAAATTTAGAATCAAAGTCTCTAACAAAATATAAAATTATATATAAATTACGTAAAATTGATAAAAAATTTTCTTATTAAAATAAAAATATAAATTGTAAAAAAAATTTAAAAAAAAGGCTAGCAAGCTAGTCGTGGTGGGTTATAGGTTGACGGATGCGTGCTAAAAAAACATATCAAAATGATCTTTATTTTCTTCAATCTAACTCGCCGTCTTATAAGGAGTTAGCAGGTTGATTTCAAGAGTTTAACCCATATTATCGACCATATCCAAAACATATGAAAAGTGGGATTCGGATCTTTTCCCATCTCAACAGAAAGGGAAGATGTTGATGGCTGGGGACTTGTGAATTCCATTTGTTTTTCTAAATATTAAAAAGAAAAAAGAATAAGGTGATTGTTTTAATTTTTTTAGGCACAGATTTGAATATTAACAAATATTAAAAATATTTTTAAAAAATTGTATGAAACGGAGAAACTCCCTCTAACTGCCAAAAGCGATCTCAGGTGGGGTGCCGAAGAATTGGGGTTGAATTCTTGTGGTTATGGGCGTTGAGAAGGACTTCTAGGAACACGACACAGGATAAGGAGGAGATGATTTCTATTTTGAGCTTGGATTTAATTTTAAATATAATATATTAATTTATTTTATTTTTTTACTTCTTATTTTTTTTCAAATTAATTTATCCGTATTTGAAATCTAACGTCATATAAAAATATTGTAGGGAACTCATACATCTGCCAGGTAAATTAATGCCCCCGAGACCCTAATGGTTATGTTACTCTTATTATTAAGAAAAATTTGGTTAAAAATTTTTGTTTGAAAACTTAATTAGTGAAAGAGATCTAAATTTAAGCGAGTGTAACTATGATCCATAAATGCAACTTTTCTTACATTATATGCAATATATCATCAATAATATACAACAACCATCAATATGGAAGTTCTTTGCACACATTGTAAGATATATTATACATAACAGAAGAAAAGTTGTACACAATCAAATTTATATTTTTTTTAGCTAATTAAGTTTCCAAACAAAATTTTTTTACCAAATTTTCCTGTTATTAATCCGTTTCCTCCGCAACTTAGTTTGAATATGTTGATCCCTCTAACTTTATGCCTGTCTGGCCCTTGCTGGTCCCAAGCCGCATCTTGCTAGAATCCAATTTCCATAATGTTTGCTTTTTTCCCGGGAAATAAGAGAAAACCATGTTGAAGGTATTCATATTTGGGAAAATGACAGATAAAGAAGCTTCAAAATGTGAAATGCCAATTTGGGAAGTTAAGGAAATGTAATTACCCATAGGGAAGTCCTTCCCAAATTGAAAATTTAAAATTTAGTGAAATGACAAAAATGCCCTTTGTTCTTTTTTTTTTTTTTAAAAAGAAACCCAGCCCCTCACCGGTGGCCTGCGACGGTGACCACCGCCGGCGACTGGCCTCTGATGACCGCCGACCGCCTCTGGCCACCGGTGTGGTGGCTGCCGGTAAAGGATTTTTGTGACAAGATTTTTTTTTTTGAATGGGATAATATTGGTTCAAAGTGACGCGGGTGGGATTTGATCCCACAACCCCTTGGCCACTTGGACCAACAAAAGGGAAGATGACCATTGGGCTATCAAAGATTTCTTAACCTTATAATACAAGCAAAAATATAAGTTAACTCTTTTACTGTGACTCCAGCTCGTGACAACAATTTATCTGAGGATGACAAGTCTTAATTGAGAAATAACAAGTCTAAATTTGATATTAACAAGACAACTTTTCCTTATACATAACAAGAAATACCGAATAAATTGTTGTTATTTTTCAACAAAGACGTGTTATTTTTAAATAAATTATGATCATTTTTAATTAATGCACATGCTGCTATTTGTTATGTATAAGGAAAAGTTGCTTTGTTAATATCAAATTTAGACTTGTTATTTCTCAATTAAGACTTGTCATCCTCAGATAAATTGTTGTCACGAGCTGGAGTCACAGTAAAAGAGTTAACTTATATTTTTGTTTGCATTATAAGGTTAAGAAATTTTTGATGGCCTAATGGCCATCTTTTTGTTGGTCCAAGTGGCCAAGGGGTTGTGGGATCAAATCCCACCCTCGCCACTTTGAACCAATATTATCCTATTCCAAAAAAAAAAAATCTTGTCACAAAAATCCTTCACCGGCAGTCACCACACCGGTGGCCGGCGCTGGTGGCCAGAGGCGGTCGGCGGCGGTGGTCGCCGGTCGTCGGCCACCAGTGAGGGGCTGGGTTTTTTAAAAAAAAAAAAAAAGAACAAAGGGCATTTTTGTCATTTCACTGAATTTCAAAATTCCAATTTGGGAAGGACTTCCCTATGGGTAATTACATTTTTTTAGCTTCCCAAATTGACATTTCACATTTTAGAGCTTCTTTATCTGTCATTTTCCCTTCATATTTTTTATTTTTATTTTTAATCTGATACCTATGCTTTTTTTCCCTCTTCTTTAAATCACTTAAATTTATTTTTTTAGCAACATTAGCTCTTGTAACTTTGTTCTATTATGTATTTTCAAAATGGTTTTCCCAAAATAAAAAAGAGTTAGAGACTAGTGAGTTCAGTCTAACAAAAAAAACTAGTTCTTCACAATATGGCGAGTCAAGTTTTGAATTTTCATTGGATGCTCATGTTTAGCTGCTGGATTGCTTCTAGTAGAAGTATATCTAGGTTTAGCAGTAACAACAATAACAAGTCTTATCTCATTAGATATGATCAGTTACATAGATCATACAATGCTGTTGTATTCTATTAACAATTAAGTTTTTAGATACGTGGTTGTCCAGCCAATGGGAGAAAAAAGAGAGCCTGAAGCTGATAAACAGTTAAACAACAAAGTTTATAAGGCTAGGAGACAAATCCGAGCCGACAGTCCGAACAAGACAATCCAATTTTCATTAATATCAAAGCCACCCTGCAATGTGTTTCACCAAGAAGAGAGAAATGCAGCAGCCAGCAAGAAAAGGACAATAAATTAAGTTGGAATCAAATGGAAACAGTCGGAAAAGGAAGCCTATTTACCTCTTTGTCTCTAACAATGGCGACAAGTCGATGATGAACAGAATGAGATGGGTTGAAGATGACGATGGAGAGAAGAGGGTGGAAATGGAAAAGTACGGTAAGCCGTTGGAAATAATAATGGAGGATTTTGAATTTGGAAGAGTAGCTATGAACAAGCTTATATATAGGATGAGTTTGAAAATCATGACAGAGGTAAGAGAAGAAACTAACGTTTGGACTCTGGAGAGCTGTGGAAAATGTGAAGAAAAAGGAAAAGGTTTCTTTGGATCCTGGATCGTGATTTACATTTATTTATCTGCATTAAAACATTAGTTAAGGTTTTTTCTTGTCCAAAAAATATTAGTTAAATTTAATTAAAAGCAATAAACAAAAGCTATTAACAACTAATGAAATATAGTTAATATTTATGCAAAAGTTGTGAATAACTTACAAAATTGACTTTATTATTTGTTAAAACATTGAAATGCATTCGACACCAACACAACAATTGTGAATGATTGGCAACTCTCAGCTTCTTTTTTTTTTTTTTTGGTCTTTTGATATTTTCAAGTTCCTTCCCAATAAATTATGTGTTTATATTTGTAGGTTTTGAAATTAACTTAATCATATAGTCACATGAAAATATAAAAATAATTAAAATTTAGTTAATAAAAGTTTGTAGTTCAATTTCCAAATTTAAAAACATCTGTTTTAAAAGTGCAAAAAATAATTGAAGAGAATGTGGCTTAGCAGGCCAAGTGGTCAACCCAGTCTTGCGGGGCTCGGGTTTGACTGAATCCTATCCACAAGAGGAGCCCGACCTGCAGGTTGCGGGCCGCATTTCCAGCTTCTTACGTGTGCGTCGCGTGCTTGCCACACGACTAAGGCGCGTCTAGTCGTGGATCTCGCGCCTGATGGCAAAGCTATAAGTTGCTCGTTGCTCTCCCGAATTCGAGACGAAAGTTGTAGTTTTTGGGAGATCTCTGAGTCGCCGATAACCAGCGACAAGCCCAAAGTGATTTTCCACACCCGAAAATTCCGAAACCGACTTCAAGTTCAACATTTCAACACCAAAATAATGGAAATAACCAAATCTCTTGGTCTTCATTCTAGATTTCCTCTATTCCCCGGATTTATACCTTTCCTGTTTCAGCCTGATTTGGGGCTGTATTATCGGCCACTTAAACGGTCAAATTTGACGAATCTTTGCTGGTCAAGTATCTCCTTGTAAGTTTCCTTTTTTGGTTTGCCTTTAATCAATTATACATACTCTTTCTCTTGAAGAGCGTATCTGTGATTCTTCGCATTAATCTCACTGCGTTTAATGTATATGTGCTTCCTATTCTGATTTTTTCCTGTTAGTAGTATCTCTCTATTTTCCTGAAGAGTTGGGAGCATTGGACAAACCTTCGGAATTTCATGATTGGTCATACCGTCTTCTTCTCAGCACGTTTTGTAGTTACAGTAATGAGGGGCACACTGGAGTTGGAGGTATTAGTTAGGCATTTTAGTTTGGGTGATTGAATCCCAGTTTCATTCAGGATTGACATCAGTTGTTTTTCATTTTGCTTCTGTTATCTCTTGGTTTCTAGTGATATGGGCAAAGGGTTGTCAAAGCTTGAAACTTCACCTCTGGTGAGTATGTGTAGAGAGAGAAGAGAGTTTATCAAAGCTGCTGCATATGGTCAGTTTGACCTAGTTTCAGCCTATGTCATGTATTTAGAATCCTTGTTAGACGTAGGCAATGCTCTTAACCAGTATGTGGAAGATGAGTTACTTATTTTAGACGACAATTCTCAGGATTCTGGTTCTGATTGTGAGCCATCTGAGGAAGCCTCTCACCTGGAATTTCCATCCTCTGACCCTGTAGTGAATTTGGATTCATTAACTGACCATATTCACAGTGACATGGAAATACCGAGACTCCCTATTACAGAGAATCAAGACCCATCTGCAGCCAATCTGAGTATAAAATTCGTGGAAACCAGACAACATGAGATGCCAGGGGTGATTCATGGGCAATCATGGAGTGTGCCCTCAAGACTTCCCCATCATAGTTATCAGGAGAACACTCACACTCATGTGGACGTGTCGCATGAAGATACTGTGCACATCAAACATAATCAAAGATTTTCATTTAACAATAGATGGGAAAATCCACAAAGTCGTGAGAGGTATCCTCAGCTTGTAAATCAGGGCTTTCCTGGATCTTCAATGGGTTTTTCCTACTATGATGATAGGAATCTCCATTGTCCCGCTGAGGCAATTTCTATGGCTATACCCTCCAGTTTTCCAAAGTTCCATAGGCATGTAACTGATCAAAATCCCCCACCCATTGCTTCTCCTACTCCTCCCCCACCTCAAGTCTCTACATGGGATTTCTCATATTTATTCAACTTGAATGATGATAATCATTATAAAAATCTTCATTTTAGTTCCAGCTATAACACTAGGACCAATAGTAGCGATTGTGATGTGAGAGAAGTAAGGGAGCGAGAAGGAATTCCTGATTTAGAAGATGAAACAGAACAAGGTTCAATGGACGCAGGATTTGATGAGAAGGGGTTGAAAAGAGCGAATCTCAAATCAGGTGATGGACCTTCATGTGGAACACAGTTGAGTTCTGATAGAGATGCATTCATGGATGAAGAAAATGCACCTAAAGATAGCTGCAATGTCGCTGAGGAAGAGATTGAAGCTGATTCTGAAGTAGTCACGTCAAAGAACTTGGAGCTTAGGATAATGGAAGGTGAGAGTTATGATGCAGAAGAAGCAATGGTACTAAGCAGTAAATCTCTAGGAACAAGTTGTGTTTCCTCACCAGTTTGTAGTGGTAGAGTGGGTCTTAAGGAAGCAATACAGGATATAAAGGACGAATTTGAAAATTTATTTAATTTTGGAAAAGAATTCTCAGCAATTATTGAGGTGGGCAAGCTACCGTATCACTCCTTGAGCACCAGGTTAAGGGGTAGGACATTTGTGCGTAATAATGTTAATTTTATCCATTTTTGTCACATACGACATGCTTTTTTTTTTCCCCCTCCTGTCTTTGTTCTATTCAAATGTCAAAATGTCCGTGAAGAATGCTATGGTATTATGACTTCCTTTTTCTTATTTTAGAGAATACTTTAGAGAAACTTCAAAAAATATCCATAAAATGTGATCCCACTATTAGGCCCCATTTGATACGCTAAATGGAATGAAATAGAGAAGGGAATATAATGAGAAGGTAAATTTATGGATAGAAAGTGACTCTAATACCCTTGCTTTAAAAGAAAATACTCACATCTAAGAAACATTTGAGTAATGATTGCATGGTTATAATAGATATTGCACTTTTTGGTAATTTTGATTCCTTTTCCTTTGCGAACCAAATGAAGCCTGTTTCTAACTTGTTATGACAGATGATGTGCACAGGAGCATTTGATTATTCAATCTTGTGATTCGAAGTGTAGAATAAAGCAGATATGAAAGTAAAAGGAAGGAAACGAAGATATAGGAAAGGAAGAAAAGTCCGGAACTCTAAATTCATGGAGCTGAAATGATGAAAGCAGTAAGCAAAACTTGGGTCATTTGTTCAATCTGACTGAGATCAGTTGGACTTGTCAGTTCTTTGAACAATGAAATGCAACATTTTGGCTTAAACTAAACATGGCATTTTGTTTGGCAGTTTTTTGAATCATACAACGTGAGATTTCAGCAGTCCATTCTACTAGCAGCTACGATAGCAATTGGCATATCTCACCAACCCAATTTCACGTGGGAGACATGGCGTGGTCTTGGTTTCTAGAAGAATGGACGGCTTAAATCTCCCCTTGTATTATTTAAAAATTTAAAATCTTACGTAACAAAGTAAATGTTTCATTTTTAAGCTATTGTGTATGATTATTCCAATAGGCACTTCCTCTTGTGTCCTGTTAAATTACACCAGTAACCCAAATTTTGCCTACTCCTTTCCATCATTTTAGCTCCACAAGGATCTGTTTGCTGAAGGAGAAGCAGTTAGGATTTGCTTGACTTTTGACTGTAGCTTGTATATATCCTTAATAAATAGATGCTATCTGATTAACATATAAATTGGGGTATTGTTAATAGAAAATCAAATGTGCCATTCGGGGGAACCAATACAAAAATTGTCTCTTGATGCACAACAATGAATTATAAGGGACATCGTAATGCATGAATCAGAACTTCTTGTCCAGTGTGTCAGTCTGATGTGAATACTAATGAGATAGTCTGGCATTTTTGTGGATTTCTGTCAGGTAGCAGTAATTTTTCATGTCAAAATGAGACGCAGTAATTTTAAGTTGCATTGTTCTTGTACGTACCTTTAGGCGGCTGCAATGGCACTCTTGAGGCTACAACTAAAACTTAGCAAATTATGTCCTCCTTTGCAGGTTTTGCTTCTCCTGTTCTGGGACTGATTTTTCCTTCAGTACAGAAATGTTTTCACCCTCCTTCACGTATTCAGTCAGACCAAATAACTCGTAAAGGACAGCTGCTGTGCAGTACTAACAAGACAGACAATCAAGGACATGTTTTTGCAAAGTTTGTTGAGCTTTCATCCATTTTGGAGCAGCTGTATATGTGGGGAAAAAGACTTTACAGGGAAGTTGTGGTAAGAAATCTCTTAAACGTATAAAATTGTATGCCTCCTTCTTTGATAGTGTAAAAAATAAAATTTTTTTCCCCGTTTAATTAATTCAAATGGCAGGGTGAAGAAAAACTTCGGATTCTCTATGAGAAAAGATATAAGAGGCTCAGAGATCTGGATGGTCATGGTGCAGAACCAGATAAGATCACTGATGCCTGGTCCTCTGTCAGACATATGCAATCTGAAATTAATATAGCTGTTGCATCTATTTGTGTGGTATCAAGAGCGATAGACAAGTTAAGAGATCACAAGTTGCTTCCTGAACTCTATAAATTAATTGAAGGGTATGATAGGTTTTCTCTCTCATTATCTTATATGGATTCATATGCTATTAATATACGATGCTGTCGAAATTATCTATGAATTCGTTGAAAGATTTCTCTTGGCCATGAACATGTTAATTCTCTCTCTCTCTCTCTCTCTCTCTCTCTACACACTTCTATGAGACACTAGGGATGGGTCCTTTTATCCTCCACAATGCTTGTTTGAGGCAGCATGTTAGGCAGTTCATTGCAATGCATTTGCTTTGGTTTTATTTCTATTCATTTAATATGCCTATTTTGCATATTACTTTGGTGGATTTGCCTTTTGTTTGCTGGGTATCTTCCGAATTTTTTATGTCTTTGTGACCTTGATTGTCCCTGTAATCTTTAATTCCAAATAATAGTTTACTAGCAAAGCACACTTGAATCTAGAATAAAAGGTGGGTAATACAGTTTGAATTCGGGTGTTTCTAGGACTTGTCAAATTAATGATTGCAAAACGAGGTTGAGGTAAAGATTCAATACCTGAATTATAGTATGGAGGAAGATTCGTACACCTATTTACATGGTTTTTTCTTTTCCTGATATGATTATTCAATGTTGTTTTATAGATTAATCAAATTGTGGAAGTATATGGGTTCATGCCACTTCAAACAATTCCAAATCATCACGAAGGCCAAAAGTCACGTACATATTTTAGATCCAAGTAGGAATCGTTCAAACCCAGGGGCTACTTTAAGACTGGAAAGGATGATCTTGAACTGGGGTATATGCTTTAGTAATCTTGTCAACACACAGAAGGACTTTGTGAAGTACTTGAACGAGTGGCTTCTAAGGTGTGTGCTCCAAGAACCTGAAGAAATTGTAAATGGGACTGCCCTTTTCTCTCCAAGCAGGATTGGAGCTCCTCCCATTTTCAACTTATGCAATGACTGGTACCGTACTATCGACTCAATTTCAGAACTGGGAGTTTCGAAAGCCTTTTCTGATTTTGCCTCAAGCTTGAACCATTTATATGAGAAGCAGAAAGAGGAACAAGCACAAAAAGCTGGAGTGGATTACCTCTTGAGGGACTACCAGGACAGACTTAAAACCCTTCATAAGAAGAATCGCATGAGCTTTCACCATAATTTTTCTCCTATTATGGCAGCCTTGAGGGATGGCGAAGAAGCTGAAGTTCCTTTATTGGAGGGGTTTGATGAGAGTTTAACAGTATTAGGGAAAAGAATGGTTGAACAGAGGGCAAAACACCGAGAGGTTATAAGACAGGTCAATGACACTGCTTCATGTTGCTTACAAGTGGGTTTATCTCGCATTTTTGAGGAATTAGGAAGCTATTGTTTAGAAAATCTGACAGCCTATGAGCTGCTTAGACTACCAAATGCTGCGTCCCATTATCCGGGAACGCTTGAATTTTGACAGAAGTGTGTGTGTGTGTGTGTGTGTTCGAAGTGTAAAATATGACATGTAGGGTATATTCGAGCGAAGAATGAAAATTTGGGTTATGTTGGAAGGAGAGTATAAATCGGTTCCCCAACGTTTAAATCGATTTTAGAGCTATGTACTGAACCGTGACATTGGAAGATGATGGATTGATGGGTCTTTCTCTACTAGACCCTCCCATTTGAGAGACTTAATGAGGCATTAATTTCTTCTTGCAACTGATGATTTTATTCAGGCCTTTTTGCAAAGATTATGGTGGAGTGAAATATAAAGATGGATTGAAAAAATGTGAATGAGAAAGCAGTGTTTAATGGGTTTGATGTAAACCCCACTACTTTATCAATGTAATCCTGCGTTTATGTTCTCATTTTCTTCATTATTCCGCTATTTGTAGTACTGCATCTGGTTTTAAATATAAGAGCTGGTTGACTAATTTGAGTAAATTAAGAAAATAAGTTAAGTTAGTTATTTCTAATAAATATGTATTGTTTTTCTTAAAATATTCTTGTTAATCAAGTTTATTAGTTAGAACTACCATTATCAGAAGGATTATCTTGGGAAATGATAGATAAATATGAAAGATAAAGAGAATTGAAATCTTTTATTTATGACCAAAATAAAAGTCAAATAAGATTTTATATTAAGGATGGAGGTAGTATTTAATCTTTCTTGTTTGTGAACATTTTTGTTTATTTGGCTTTGATTAGAGTAGAACTCAAATAAATAGTTAGACGTGGACTCTTTAGCTTATGTGAATTTTGACATATTTTGTTAGCTTCATTTCATTGACAAATAGTGGGTAGATATTATAAAAATTTGAAGTATTTTGTTAGACTTTCAAACGAAATAAATTCCTTTATAAAATAAATATTGGCATTATATTTTTTTTATTACTCCTCCGGTCCTTAATATAGGACCCAATTGTTGAGTTAGTTTTGGTCCTAAATATAAGAATTATTTTTCATATTTATTAATTTTCTCTAAATTACCCTTATGGATACTCTCTCAACTATAATCAAGTAGAAGAAGGAAAGGAGGTATTAAGAAAGATGATTATGGTGTTTTAAGAAAAACATGTCATATCTTTTATAATTAACTAACTTATTTAACTTTCTTAATCTAATCAAATTAGTTAAATGGATCTTATATTAAAGACTGGAGGAGTATTTCAAACTTATCATTCATTTAAAATACAGGCGTAGTTATTTATTCATCAGTAGGGCTTTGTTTGGTTCAATAAAGGGGAGGGGAGGGGAGGAAAAAGTATGAGTTTTGCTTGGTTGGAGGAAAAGAGAGGGGATGGGAGATTTCTTATTTGATTCAGGAGGAGAATGGAAGGGAGTTAATTATAAGTTAACAAATATATCCTTACCTCTTTATTTAGATTTCTTTATTATTTTATTATGATATTTATATCATAATTATTATTTTCTAATTTGTGAATATAAAAAAACCAGATACCTTGAGAATAAATAGATTATAAATAATCATATATCAAAATAAATGTCAATAAAAAAATTATAATTTTTAGCATATTATATAAATTATAAATAAATTTATGCTACAAGTTTTGAACTACTGCATCCTTAATTATATAATGTGCACAACCTCACATACTTAATTAGATAATGCAGAAAGTTTTGTGTAAAAAAATGAAACTGAAATGAATGAGATGAAAGATCAGACAAAAAGAAAAGATATGAAAGATTAATGATAGAGTACATGAGAAATGATGAAATCAGAGAAAAACATATGTAGAAGAAAAAAGAACCTCTAAGGAGTTAAAAAAAATCCCGTAGAAGAATAGTAGGAGCTGAAAAGAAAAAAAACAAGAAAAAAAGTTTTTACTGAAAAGGATAAACTTGAAATATTAAAAAATTGATATGGGTAATTTAGTCAAGATAAGATATAATATTTCTCTTCTTTTTAAAAAATCCTAATTTTGGAGAGAAGTAAAAAGAAAGGAGGAGAGCACTAAATGACAAAAAAATTTTCCTCCCCTCCCCTCTTTTTTCCTGAACCAAACACAATTTCTCCTCCCTTCCCATCCCTCCAAAAACCTTCCAACCAAACAAAACCTAGAAGGCCAAAAAAATTATTGGTGATTAAGTTCCTATAAATGAATAAACATTAGCAGATGTGGGAGAAAAGAGTTTCTTAGTTAGATTATCTGGTCTTTAATATAATATGCATTTTGTAGTGCAAATATATTAAAATATTGTCGGGGAATAACCTCAAGCACCTTTTTTTATTTTTTTTAAATATGAGGTTGTGAATTAAAATAGAGTTAAAGTATGCCTAGCACCTCAAACTATTTTTTCAGGTATATTTAATGTTCTGAAGTATTTTTGATGCACCTAATTGCTTGAAATAATTAAAATAGTGCACCTGTGACAAGCTGTGACCCTTTTTTTTTTTTTTAAATAATATATATTAAAATATTATTATTTTATTATAATAATAAAATATTTTTTTGAATTTTTTTAATATTATAATAAAATATTATTATATATATTTTTACATAAATCCCTAAAAATTAATTTAGGATATTACAGCACATGTCAACAGAAATGTTATGTTAACCGCTAATCTCATGACTGAGTTCAAATTTGACCCAAAAAATCCTACTTGGCAGCTGATGTGTATTTTTTGCTTTCTCAAAATTTAATTTATTTTGTTTTTTCCCTTTTAAAACTAAAGATCGATTGATTCAGAGCAAGAGAGGGGTTCAATCTTCTACCCCATCTTTCGTTGGGGGACCTAGAGGTTTTCTTCGACGGAACAAATCAATTGGGGTAAGTGTTGATTTGTAATGGAATGATTCAAAATCCAAAACGAAGGATGAAAATCTTATTACTCCAGTAGCTATGATGATCCCTGCAACAATACGCACGAGAGTGGCGTGAGTAAACCTAGCTTTCCTTGTCCTGTTCACCAGATAAGCAAAAAACAGCAGTGAAAAAGGGGGTGGTTGCTCCAATGGCCTGATTAAAAGATACCGGGATGTACTTGAGCGAGATGTTTTCACAAATGATGAAGAAGCAGAAAACGACACTCAGCCCACAAATTTTCACCAGCTGGTTTGTCAATTTTATGCTTTGGAATGGGACAACGTTCATCTCCGCCAGCGGAAGATGGGGTTGAAGCTTAAACCCTAATTTTTTTTCTCTCTTTTGCTCTGCGTTACTCCATCAATTACTCTTTTGTTTTAAAAGAAAACAACATGGCAAAAATTAAAAGCTTTAAAAGAAAAGAAAAGAAAAACTAAATGTTGAGTAAGCAAAAACCATATCGGTAATTTGCTAAATGGGGTTTTTTGGGTCAAATCTGAACTGATTTATGAGATTAACGGTTAAACATAATATTTCTATTGATCTTGTGAACCCTAAAGATACATGAAAAAATAGTTTGAAGTGCGTTCAGTAAAGTATTTATGATAAAAAATACGAATGTATCATCCAAGAGCTATGACGAAAAAAATAATACAGTTCTGAATATATTAGTTAGTTTATAGTTATAAATTAGTGATATTATCATAAATTCAGGTATTTAATATTTGGGTTAAGGTACGCCCAGTACCCCGAACTATTTACCCAGGTGCGTCCAGTGGCCTAAAGTAATTTTGGATGCAGCTAGTGTCCTAAACTAATTAAAATGGTGCGTCCATATCCCAGGCTAACAGAAATGTTATGTTTAACCTTTACTTTCCTGATTCAGTTTAAAGTTGACCTCAGATATTCTAAATGGTAGACATATGGACATTTGATATGTATTATTCTACCTCAAAATTAAATTTATTTCCTTCCTCTTCTTCTAAATAAATTGACTTTTGAGTAAGAATAATACACATCAGGTGCCCATGTGTCTATCGTGTAGAATATCTAGGGTCAACTTTAAGCTGAATTAAGAAAGTAACGGTTAAACATAACATTTCTGTTAGCTTGAGATATGAACGCACCATTTTGATTAGTTTAAGACACTGGATGCACCTAAAATTATTTTAGGCCATTGAAAATACCTAAGTAAATAGTTTGGAGTATTAGACGTACCTTAACCCTTAATATTTTAATACTCATATTGATTCGTAGTGGTAGGTGATAAGGGTAAGGAAAAAATGATCAGGAAATCGGGGAACCTCTCAAAGGGAAGCAATAAAAAATAGGAAATATAATCAATTTTCACGTTAATCAAAGTGAATAACAAATTACAGGATCGCGATTATACGACGCGATTCACCGTCGACGCAACGGAAGCGCATCGTGGAAGCAGAAAAGCCATACGTAGCTTCCTTTGTCTCGCCTGGCCCGTGCCTTTCTTCTTCATCGACAAACCCTAAAACTGCCGATAGAATTTTATTTGAATGCCATTCTATTCATCTCGTCATGGCTCACATTGCCTCAACTGCTTCAGCCACATTCTTGGCTCTCCAGCGTATGCTCTTTTCTTCTTCCTCTTTCATATTCTGTTATTTATCATTTGATGAAGCACTCCCGATACTTGACAAGAGAAAAGTAAAAGAAGTCGAACTTGATAAAGTAAATTTTTAATTTATTGTTGGTTTCTTTTTGCATGTTTGGAAATAATAATATAAAATATCCTAATTACAGTGTTTTCTTTGTTTGGCTGTTTCAGGCGGGTCAGTGCAACAGAGTAAAAGTTTCCCGGGCTTTTCCAGAAGTAGGGGAATTCAGTCGTTCTTATTTACAAATTCTCCGAGGAAACGGTTGCAAGTACGATTGTTTTCTTCCGGGACAAATCGCAGCAATGGAGATATTGTGGAGATATCTGAGAGTGAAAAGAAACTGAGGAACTACGTTTGGCCTGATACAAGGGTTGGAACTTTCAAATTTCATACGTGATGTCACATATATTTCATCAAAAAGAAACAATTTGTTGGTCTCTTGTTTTTTACTGTGGTGGTTCTTTGGCATCATTACGCCTCCACTAGATTGTTGATGAGATTTTAAAAAGGCTAA